CACAGCCATACTGTTCAGGGCATGGATTTAGCTTTATAATCTGAGTGCCTGCAGGCTTCACAGTCAGCAAAAGCTACCCCTGCATGCAGATGATGGAAAAGTTGAAAACCCCATTACAAAAGTGGTCCAGATGCACCAAATGTGAAGCTCCTATAATCAGTATTCAAACAGAGCAAAAAGCCTTCCGTGGCCTCATCTCCCCTGCTCCAGGACCATTACCCCTGCCCCAGCCTCCATGGCAACAGAAAAACATCTGGGAGAGCGCGCCAGAACAGAGCATTAAACCAGGAGGGAGACCAATTACTCGTCCTCAGCAATCAGGCACTGCCCGCTCCACTCCACCTGGCCTATATCTCTTTATTAATAGCCACCTACTCCTTTGCAACCAGGAGGCAAATGCAGCTCTCAACACAGCCCCCCACCCGCACTCGCATCCATTTTCCCTCCCACAGTCCTTCCATTTCATATCCTCCTAACCCACTTTGTCCTCCTCTTTCAGTTCCTACATTACACCCACTTAGCCTGACAATGCGCTGCTCCCAGATACTCTGTGCACTTGACAGTGGGACTGCTGGGGTGGAAGGATGGGGTGGAGGTGGGGGGAACAGGAGCCCAGCAGGAGGGTGGCTTGTTTATCTTGTTTCCATGCCGAACAGTGAGCAAGTGAGAGAGTCCCTTTCTGGAGATTTACTGAGCAGGGCCAGGTGTCATATAGCCACAGCCTGTTTATAAAGTGATGGCTTACTGCCAGCTGTTTCCCCTGCAGTTCTTTCAGAGAGACACAGCCCACCAAGACACTTACTAAATGTTAAATAATAACAACTGCAAATTTAATGCCAGGAGGTGTAGGAAGAATGACAATAGAACAAGTTACTACACAGTCCTTCTCTTTTCCTGGACATGAAAAGGACAGACTCAAAGAAAAAAGGTAATTTCCAATCGGATGAAGTGTTCTTCCTAAAAAAATGTTGGCCAAGTCCTCCCCACTTGTCAAATTTGAAAACTTATTTCCTGATGTAGAAGAATATAGCAGGCTTTATTTGTGTGGGGAAAGAAACAATGTGTTTCTTCCTAACCGGGAGGGGACATTATCCATGCCCTCCCACAAAACAGTCTTTGGGAATTTTCCAAGCAAAATATTGACCCAGTATGACAGTTTTATTTTTCCTGGGGGGAAAAATGTATTTAAATCAAATTTTGTTAATTTAAATATTCCCCTTTTATTGATTTGCATTATAATGTTAAATATGGGTGGGTGGACTTCAGTGAACAGTAATTGTTAACCTTTTAGCGTTCAGTTATTCTGAAGAGATATTCAAGTGTTAAGCAGTTAACCACCTGTATCTATATTAGAGGAGTGGCTAGTAAAAGAAAATATTCAAATAAAGCTCCTCTCTTTATCAAAAACGTGTGTGATAAGCAATTGCTTTGAAATTCCTAGTGTTCTATGTTGTGGTTTCTTAAAGTTAGGTATATTTAAACTAAAAGAATATGCCAATATATATTAAGGACCATGTGCAAATTTGTTTTTAATCCATGAGAATAGGTGTTCTTTAAAAAAAAGTTGTAATATTGTGTCATTAACTCATTCATTCAACAAATATTTATAAAGCAACTAATCTGTGTATTGGGTTAGGCACTATGTTAGGTAAAAGGGATAATAATAATAAGCTAATACAATGCACCAGGTGCTGTTTTTTCTAAGTGATTTTCATTGACGAATTCATTTAATCCTCACAACAACTCTACGAGACAGGTTTTGAATTTGCCCATTTTACAGCTGAAGAAACTGACAGAGAGATCACAGAACTAGGAAATGAAAACGCCACCTAGGCAGTATGGTTCCAGAGTCTGTGCTCTCAACCTCCATGCCACACAGTTAAACAAGATAAATAAGACAAGCTCTTGGTTTTCTTGGACCTTAAAGAGAATATAACCTAGCAAGCAAGAGAGACCACAAAAAGGGAATTCATCAGCGTATGCCAATGTAAATACTGTGCACAGTAAGTGTGACCACAGTCTATGAGAGCTCAGAAGGGGTGATGATTAATTTTGCCTGGAAAGTGATTCTTCAAGGCTTCATAAACGCTTTAGAACTGAGCCTGGAAGGGTGGGATTGCAGTTGACTAAGCAGACAAGAAGGAAATCCCTTACATAAGAGACAGGGTCCGCCAGGCATGGAGGCATCATGAATGTGCAAATTGTGCTCCGGGGATAGCAAATACTTCAAGTATGGCGACAATATAGGATGGATGAATGAGCCATGTCTGAGAGTGAGGCTGGTTCTCACTTTTGTGGCTTTTGAGCTTTGAAATTCTCACAACAACGTTCAATGAAAAATTCCTTTCTGGATTTAGAGCCTAAGAACATGACCATTTGATTGGATACCCCCAAACTCCCCCTAACCTCATGGCCCTATTAGGTAAGACCA